CTTTCTGTCCCTCTGTCTCTCTCTGTCTTTCTGGTGAGCACATGCACCCTATAGCAAAAAAAAAAAAAAAACTCTCCAAAAAAATAAAAAAGAAATCTGAGAAAACACATTGATTTAAAATTGCATTAAAGTTCAGATTACTTTCTGAGATTTAATTTTTTAAAAGAATTATTTAACTTTTTCCATTTATTTCAGTTTGTCCAGAGAGGGACAGAGAGAGAGAAAGAAAGACAGAAGGTGAGAAAGCAAGCCGCCAGGTCCAGGACCTGAACTGCAGTCAGCCATGTGGGTGTCCAGTGCCCTTAATCACCACACCACCTGCCTGCCAGCCCCTGAGATTTTATTTTGATAGGGAAAATGGAGACAAAGCATTTTAAAAGCTGATGTTAACTTTTTTATGATGTAAATTTATTTTATGTATTTGTATTTATGCAACTTTTATAATAAAAATTAACTATATAAAACCATAAATTTATAATAATACTTCCACAAAGCAAAAAAATGTCCATTAAAAAACAACACCTGGGACCAGCTGGTGGCTTAATGGTTGAGGCAGCTGGATTCCACATGGCCAACCATGCAGTTCAAGACCTGGATTCACTGGCTTGAGAAACATGCTGGGTGCATGCACATGTGTGCCCAAAATCACCAAAGAAAGGAGAAACATGGAGAAGAAAGAATTGAAGTGTGACCGTGCCCCATGGGGGGGGTGCTTTCTCATTATTTCTCTCACTCTAGAAAGAATATGTGCTCTCTAGGAACATTAAAAAAAAAAATAGCATTAAAAAAAGAATAGAAGGGGCCAGCAGGTGACATGGCGGTTAAGGCACTGGACTCTCACATGGCCAACAATGATTTGAGCCAGGCCTGGCAGTTTGCTTTTTCACTTTCTGTCTCTCTCTCTCAGGTGAATTTAAAAAATAATAATAAATAAAATTTTAAAAAGAGGAACCAGTAGTTAGCATAATGGTTATGTCGCTGGACTCCCATGTAGTCGACCACGGTTCGCATCCCGGACCTGGTGGCTTAAAACTCACGCCGGGCGTGTGTGCATGTGTGCCCAAGATCCCGAGAGGAGAATGGAGGAGAAGGGATTGTGGCTTGACCATCCGCCCTGGGGGGTGATTTCTCGCTTTCTGTCTCTGTCTCTATCTGTCTGGTGAGCACACGCACCCCATAGCAAAAACCTCTCAAAAAAAAAAAAAATTTGTGATATACATGACGTCTGGTTCCTGTCCTGACACACTCCTTCTTGTAGAACTGCTGTAGTTATTGCTAAGGGTGCATTGGATGTAGTCAGCTATGTTTCCATGTTAGGAACTGGGTAGACAAGCTCCCCCAGGGAGGACCACGCCACAATCCTTTCTCCTCCATTCTCTTCTCGGGATCTTGGGCACGCACGCACATGCTTTTTGCGTGAATTTAAGCCACCGAGTCTGGGACTCAAGCTGCGGTGGACTACATGGGAGTCCAGTGACATAGCCATTATGCCAACTGCTGGTCCTCCTTTAAATACATTTTTAAAAGACATAAAAGGAGGAGGTTGTAGATCCTGAAGACAAATTTTACCTACTTCACAATCTGGTTTTTTTTTTTTTTTTTTTCTTTTTTTTTGGGGGGGGTTTTGCCTA